TTTTTTACTTTGTCAGGAGCAAGTTGGAGTATGCGACTCTGATCTGGTCTCCTATATACCAAAATTCTGTCGTGATCCTTGAGGCCATTCAACGTAAAGCTTTAAAGTATTTTCACCTTAAATGCACAGGTTCTTGTCCAGAAAGAGGTTGTGACCATAGTGCCCTATTAGAGTCTTTCAATTTGGATTCACTGTCAACAAGACGAAACATATTTGCTTTGTCGTTTTTGTATGGCCTCATTCACAACAAAATTGACTGCCAAAATTTACTTGAAAAAATATGTTTCCGCGTTCCAAGGCTAGGGAGTCGACAACAAATGGCATTCTATTGTCAAGCTGGCCGTACAAATGTTATGACAAAATCGCCAATTAATTTCATGTGCTGCGTCATGAACAGTGTTTACTGAATCGTGTGATATTTACAGTGACAGTTGTGCAACGATTATTAACTGTTATAGATCATCCAATCTTATTTAGAATGTGTGATACTATAGATTTAAGTCCAAGAACCATGTCTCTTTAATTGCTATTTTTTTCAGCGTTTCCTGTAATTGGGTTTCACCTGTTGGAAATAAATAAATAAATAAATAAATAAATAAACTGCAACCAAATATACATAGGTCAGACCTCCAGATCTCTTAAAGGAAGGATTACACCACACAAAAGTGATGCTAGGCTTCATCCTGAAAGATGCGCTCTCGCATGTCATGTTAACACAACAGGGCATTCTATGAATTACACAAGTATCAAAGTTCTTGATAAAGGAAAACACCTTTCCAAACGTTTATTCTTGGAAATGTCCCACAATTTCATGAATAACAACTGTATCAACAAAAAGACAGATGTTAAACAACTGAGTGTCATTTACTCATATTTGCTAAACTGCGAAGAATTGGAGAACTTACATATCTCCCCAAATTTCGACTCTTCACAACCATAAATAGAATCTGTGTTTTGGCCGATTCCACCAGTAAATTTCATTCCACTCAAAATATAATAATTCTCTTCTCACGATTTATTAATAATTGTTAATTTAAATTCCCATTAATTAAAATATAGTTTATTCAACTGCCTCTGGTCGGTTTAACAATTTCTTACATAACATTCTGAAAATCACATCATCTGAAGTGATTTGGCAACGTTCGGCACACGCCCACGATTCGTTCCATCTTTCAACACAGACACTGACAACCTTCGGCCTTCTGTCAAAGGGTTTCATCTCACTCATTATTCCATGACCATCATTTTGTGCAATCATCAAGTGGCTTCACGATGTAATGCTCTAATGTTTTTTAAATAATTTTTAATCTGTTTTTAACTTGTTCTTGTCATATTTTATATAATTTTGACCATTGTACCATCTATCCAGCTCTCACCATGTTACTGGACGTTTCCCTCATCCTATACGTAAACAACAATTAGCAACATCCTCACATACTACTGTAAGTTGAGTCAATTTAATTTCATTTTACACTTTTGTTGCTACTGTTATCATTGTAATTGCAGCTCCTGATGATGATGGCAAAGTCCATTGAAAGCTAGAGAGAATTAAAAAAGTATAAAGAGTCCTCTTTGCTTAAATTTTGTCGAAGTACCCAACAAAAGGCGGAAGCTTTAATTTTTCACCTATATATATATATATATATATATACTGGGTGCGCCATCTATTACTTTTTTTTACCTGTAAGTTTATGTGTTACCATGTGAGTCAAAAGTCATGTGGTATGCATAAATGAACTGCCAAAGGTATGCCATTTACAGTCATGGATTCGTTTACAGCACAACAACGCATTTTGGTTATCCAAACTTATTACGAAAACGAATGAAATATAAAAAATACTTTTCGCAAACTTCGCACTTGTTTTGGCCGACATGGACGCCATACAGAGCTTGGAATTCCTTGGATTGTTAATCGTTTTCAGGAAACTGGTTTAGCTGAAGGTCGTAGACCATACCAACATGCTCGTCCAGCTCGTACTCGTGAAAACATAGCCGCAGTGAGTGAAAGTGTGCGAGAAGATCCAACCACCTCGACTAGGCACCGTTGGCAACAATTGGGAATTAGTGAGACCACTTTACGCCGGATTTTACATATTGATTTACACCTCCATCCATACAAAATCCTAACTAACACAAGAATTGAAGCCGGCAGACCATCAACAGCGGCGTGTTTTTATTAATTGGATGCTGGAAAGAGAGGACGGATTTTCGTGCTTTTTTCCTGAAAAGGTGACTGTTTGGTGCGGATTATGGGCTGGTGGCATCGTTGGACCATTCTTCTTTGAAGATGCCGAAGAAAAGGCCATTACCGTCAACGGGGAACGTTATCGCGGCATGTTAACAGACTTTTTGTGGCCACAATTGGATCGTATTGGTGCCGTCGATCTTTGGTTTCATCAAGACGGAGCAACGGCTCACACGAAATTTCAAGACCGCATAATTTCACGAAATACAGATGTTACTTGGCCTCCGAGATCGTGCGATGTAACACCTCTTGACTATTTTCTTTGGGGATTTTTGAAAGGAAAAGTGTATGCGCATGGTCCCCCATAGACCCGATTATTCTGGGAAAAGTCATTGAAAATTTTGATGTTCGGATGTTGGCCTGTAAACGAAGCCGCGGTGGTCACATCACTGATGTTATTTTTCATACATAAATGGCATAAACCAACCTTTATTTATCAATAAAAAAATTTGTGATAACCTCGTAAAAAGCGTATTTATTTTGTCAAATAGAAAAACAGGTATTTATTTTGTCAAATAGAAAAACAGGTAATAGATGACGCACCTATATAAAGAAATTTTGTTATTACGATTTTTGAACAGAGTAAGGTTAGTAGTACTAGAAAAAGCTTCCTCTTGTAGATTGCTATACAATCTCGGGACAAAGGAGCAGTCATATCGGCCAGTTCTGGGTGAACGAAATTCGACACGGTTAGGATGGGACGCCAAAGCCAGGCAGGTCTGACGAGCAATGCCCTTTGGTGTAGCGGTAGAAGTGAGCTAGATTACCGACGGTCCGCCAGTGTGAAAGGGTCGAACAGCCCACCTCTGGACAGCATCGAGCATAAATAATGTAGTCGGGGCGGCACCACCCCAATACTCGAGGCTAGGTCTTATCTGGGCCTTGTATCGAGTGAGAAGGTCATGTGGAGAAAAGTAC